CCTCCTATATGTTTTCATGGAAGAAGCTTTAAGTTTGAGCAAACAAAAAACATTGGAGTTAAAGTGCCATCTTTTGTTTCTCAGACCTTGAGATTGAACCCAGGACCATCACACTGATCTACCACCCCAGCCCTTTTTTAAGTTTTTGAGACAGGATCTTCCTTAGTCACTACACTGCCCAAGGTGCACTCAAGCTTGTGAACCTACTGCCTCAGCCTCTTAGTGTATTAAAATTGAAGGCCCAACTAGCCCTGTCCTTCTTGACTCATCACTATACATTTGCTCAGTCTAAACCTCTTCTTCTCAAAATGCATTGTGTATCAGAATTTCTTGGACAACTAAAACACAACTGCTGGAATGTAAACATTTTTAATTCAATAGATGTCAAACCAGGGTTGAATATTTTTACTTTTATTGAATTACAAGGTCATTTATCTTGCATGCTTGGAAACTACATTTTGAGAATAAATGTTCAAAACCATTCAGTACTTTAGCTTCCTCAAATCTAAATAAAACAATAACTACAACAAGAGAAGAAATTGTATTGGCCACTTTTTAAAATATATATAAATGCCAAAGGATGTGGTTAGTTGAGATAAGCTTTACAGAGCTGGTAAACACTGAGTTAAGTCTTGGGGAAAATTCATGGCTGTCTAACATGGCAGAGCATTTATAATTGAAACAAACCGAGTGACACCTGTTTACAGTAATTTTGAAGTACAGATGACAAAAAGCACTGAAGTATTACTTGAAAAGTAGATTAAGATATCAAGACTATGGAGTAAAACACTTGTGACCCTTTCAATATTGCTATGTATGAGTTTGAAAAAGCACAGAATCTTGAAACTTAAATTGATTGGAGTCAGAGGTCAGTGTTCAGTTCCTAACACCACAAATTATTAGCTTTACCTATGATTTGGAAAGAATAGATAATTATTTTCAATTTATTTGTATTAGTTCCCTAAGGCTTTCATCGTAAGATACCAGGAGCACAATGGTTTAAACAACAAAAGTGTGATTTCATTTTCTAGGAGCTAGAATCATACGATGGAGGTGTCTAAGCCAGGTCCTTTCATTCAGAGCATGACTGCCTGGAGTGAACCGTGGACCTGCTCTGAGGGAGCATCTCCTCCACAAAAGGCTGGTCTCTCAGTTCACTCACCCAGCCCTCTCTCTCTCTCTCCTCCACTTTTTCATTTAGCTATTTAATTTTTGCCCTGTTTTCTGTCGAAGGCGATCTGGATGATGAGTCCTGGGCCCATGACCAGCAGGAGCTGAATCGATGCTGAGAACACATTCGAACAGCTGAATGGGCAGCGTGCAGGCGATAATGACTTCCAGTCACAATCTGTGCGAGTCTCAGCGCTGTGCTTCAGCTTGCGAGTCCATTACCAATCTTCCTGCTCTCTCAGTCTATTACCAGTTCACTTCTTGAAGTTCCCTTTCATACACTTTTTGCTCTTGCTTGCTTTCTTATTCAATTACAGCAGCTTTGGTCAGAGCAGGAATGAGTGTTCCCTGAGTCACAAGGCAAATTAAGATGCCATTCCAATGTCACCTATGAAAGCAGGCATTCAGATTGAAAAGGCCTTGGCCCCTTTTGTGGACCAGCATCTCTATCACACAAATGCCACAGTCTGGTCAGCTTCCTAAGGCATCTGGCTTTACATTTCCTAATGGACAAAATAAAAATCACAAAGATGATACAGGAAGTACTTCATATTTTTTTTCAAGGAGCCCAAATCCCTTCTCTACACTCTCTGTTAATGTAATACCACCAATAATAAGAGTAAAAAAGTGAGTAGAAAGGTAAAATTAAAGATGACCCAAACCAATATATCTGTTTTGATCTATGTATTTTAATTGTATTTAAAAAAGGAAATCAAGGTAAGCATTAATCCAAAAAATTTTCCACTTCTTGAGCACCTATAATTTATATGCATAAGTACCAATGTTTTCCTAAATCTTTCAAGCTTATTCACACTTTTTAGGTAAGAAAATAGATATGTGAATGTATGGATAGGGCCAGCCATTGGTCCCATCATTATTAGCTGGAGGATCTGGGATTTCCTCCTGGATGCCTGGCTGGGGTCCCTGGAGCTGCTGCTCCATATACCATGCTTGCAATCCTTGGCATCAGGACTCCCAGCCACACTGCAGAAGCGCAGGGTGTATGGTATGTTTAATTGGATCTCATCGTGCACATTCCAGGAAAAACAAAGTGTGAGAATTTAAAGTGCTTTCCTTGATATCCATGCCTTTAGCTCACTCTGTTGCCTGGACAGTCTAAGTGAAAACAGGTCTGGTGAGATGACTGGGTCCTGTGACACTGTGCAGCCGGCTAAGGAGGCAAGCATCCATTATAGCTTCCACCATGCCCTTCCTCGGGACTCAGAATAGCCAGGTTAATTTTAGCTTGTTTCCTGTTCAGCCACTTCCTGCCTCCCACACTGACTGCAAGCATATATTTTTATCCAATGAAGAAGATATAAATATATATATATATATATATATATATATATATATGAATGTGTGTATTATATGTAATTATTGACATTGTATATGTGTGAAAATATATGTGTGTATTCTTAGTTGTGCTATTTTCATGATAATAAATATCTTTCTGAGTGAAAATTGTAGCAATATGCTCTGTCCATTCTGGGCTTTGGGAGGCTTTTTAGGTAACCGAATCCTGAAATGTCTATGTCACCCATTGTGTCTTGAAAATTAATATACAACAATTTTATCATAGTGGTACTGGATTATTCCTTCTCCTTTCACCTTATTTCTAATTATAAAATAATTGAAATTTCTATCGCTCAACTGAAAAACAGCCTAGGCGCTAGGCAGAAAATGACTTACCTTAGCCTTTATGAAGCAAAACAGTCATAGGCCCACAACATTTATTCAGTGTGAATTGAATTTATATGAGTATTTCTACTTGTAGATTTGAAAGCTTTCTCATGCTTTGTGTTTATTGACCATATAAATAATGGTAAAACAAAGCCAGGCAACCTGTAGATTAAAGGCCTGTGTAGTTTGAGTTGTGTTTGTTTTATGCACAGTGAAACCAGAGTATCTCAGGAAGAGTGAGCTTGCCAAGGGCCCCAGTGGGTGGGGAAATGTTAACCACCTGGTTCTTCTCATTGTGTCTCCTAGACAGGGGTCCATAGGCCAAGTGCACCTTGAGATGCTCAGATGCTTCCTCTCCTTCTCAATAACCTTCTCTCCTGGAGGCCATGCACAATGGCCCTCACTATTTCTTTGACAAACACTCAGATAACAGTGCTTACAAGAGACAACTCGAGCAGCAAAGGCTATGGCCCAATTTACAGGCAGGTGAAAGTGGCGTGTGTGAAAATGAAATTCTTCTAGTTTTATTTAGGTTTTTGTGACTCTCCTAAAGAAACACTTATGAAGTTTTCCTATTCTTAGTAGTAATCTTTCTCCCTCAAACAAAGATAGGGCTACTTAGATTAAATTTCCTAATCATGACCAATAAAATACTATATAATCATTGTCAGGGATGCTGAGATTATTTTAAAGTAATGTAAGAGTATTCAAAGAGAAACAAGAAATTTCTAATATTTTGCAGCTGAAAAAATTCTATAAAACACAATGATCTTTTTAAACTATAAATTAAAATTCCCTAAAATGATTTAAATCCATATTGCTCATTCTGAAAATTCTCAGTTATATGAATTATGGATATTTTCATTTCATTACTATTAATTTATTGGTTTTAGTGGATATCAGACAACAAATAATAAAATAATTCATCCTAGACTGGAGAAACAAGACTTAGACTCAGTTCAAGTTCCTGTATCATCTGCATTAGCCATGTCACTTTGTACAAGTCTCTCAAGTTCTTTAAGTCTCAGTTTCTAGAATAATGACATCCAAACTTCATTCCAAGGACTGTGGAGAAAATCAAGAGGCTACATATGTAACAAGTCCCATGTATGTGCCAGGAAATATTATAAAGTTCAGCAGGTTTCATTAGTTAAGATAAAAATATTCTTTCATTTGTATTTTGATGTTTTATCTGGTTTTCATGACACCTCTTTGAGATAAGCCAAAGAACATTAAGAAATTTTGCTTGAAGTGAGGAAATGAATAAATAGTCTGGACTCCAGGTTGCCTGATTCTAAAGCCCAATTTTTGTATCTCTGTATTATATAATTCCCCTTAGCTGTCTAACTTTTAATGTCTCTGTTGATTTTACTTTCTCCAATAATTTACATCATAAAAGTGAACCATGGAGGCCATCAATTGAAATATACAGTGAGGACTGAAGGCAGAATCTTGGAACCAGAAAGTTCTGTCAAAGTTATTGAGCTGAACCTTGCTTTACGGAAAGCTCAGCAAAGCATTCCAGACACGTTGTCAGAGAAGGAATTAACTGCTCTGCTAACTCCTCTGCTTAAGCGTGCTTGCTACCCACTGAGTTCCGTTCCTCTTTACATCACTTGAATTCCCTCCAGCTGCAATTTATGCCATTCTTCTCTTATACTCGCCTCATCCAAGAGAGAACAGCTGGTCACCGTCCTTCATATAATCACACTTGGGATAATGAGGGCAGTTACTGAGTCACCCAACAACAATTCCAGTCCAGATCTTACTACTCAAGACCCATTTATCTAGGGGGAACTGACAAAGAGGACAAGGAGAGGAAAATACATGCAAGCACTAGCGCCCAGTAAAATACTGAACAGGAAAACTGTTTGAGGAATGAGTATGGCATCCCGTTTCTTATTACCTCTAGTGTTCAGCACTTGTCTTAAATCTGAAACCCACTGCACACTAGATAAAGATATGATTTTTTTTCATACAGTATGGATTTGGCTTTATCTGAGTTTGAAGTAATTAAGTCAGGAAATCCAAGGTGAAGGAAAAGAAAAGATTTGGACAGGGGCCAGCAGGTTATTTGATCCAAGGTACATGAGTCTGAAATTAAATTTGGAAGTTAGTCTATGCTGTCCTTAAATCATGACGGCAAATGAAGGGGAACCTTCTGTGTGCTAAGAAAAGAGAATATGTAGGCTGCTGCCTTACGGGAATCACAGAGGACAGGGATCATTCCCAGAAACTGCTTGGATTGACTGAAAGGCGGTTTGTCACACCAGAGTGAGGGATGAAGAGTGGAAAACTCCCTATAATTACCTCTTCAGTGTTCCTGAGAGATTGCCTGTGTGCCCAGTGGATTTGGGTAGGTACAGCTGCTGGAGAGCTTAGGAAATAAGGCACAGTCAGGATAGAGTGATTTTTAAGGGAAACGAGCCCTCTTTAGTTAGAAATCTGAGATGGATAGATAGGTGATAAATCAGATGTATACATGGAAATCAGTTACACAGTTCCATCAGTTGTAGATTCATTTGTGTGTGCATGTGTGTGTGTGTGTGTGTGTGTGTGTGTGTGTGTGTGTGTGTATTTCATTCTATACTGGGGGTTTCTAACTTGTAGAATAGTGTTCTTTACTACTCAAGTCAAACAAATTCCTGGAACCATGATTCTAAAAGAACAGGAATCACAATCAGGCTTCATTTTTGGTCCTATATAGTGAGAAAGTTTTCAGAGCATTTATTAACTCACTTTTCTTTTACCCAATCAACCATCAGTAAGATAAAGGTAAAGCATCATCCATCTCTTTACAAATAAGCACTTTATGAGTTAATATCTGAAAATTTCATGGTGAATAGTTTTATTTCAATAGATGTTCAATAATGTAAGCCATTATTACATGTAGATACATCCAAAGGGCTTTGGGAGGCCATCCGAGGGCAAGCAAAACTAGTGTTTAATGGAAAAATGTCACTTAGGACACTATTACAGCAGCAAGCATCTCAGTGGTCAATTTTTAAGAAGCAAGAAATTGCTTCAGAAAGAAGATCATGACTTCTATTTGATGCTTGTTGAAGTGATACAGTAAAAACTATGAAATCAATTAATTCTATACAAAGTTAAACATAATTTGTTTCTCAAGCAATAGCCAGGAAAGCTCTCAACTCGCTTTGTTCCTAGGCTTCCCTTTTTCTAGTAATTCCTCCTCCACACAGCAACAGAGAGTATAATATGCTAGCTGTTTATTTTAAGGGCTGTGATACAAAGTTCTACAATAGAATCTGACTCATTTACTTTAGAAATAAATTATGTGCTTATGATCCCCCACCCCCATATACACGAATGTGCACACATTCTGTGAGCACGTTTGTTTCTCATGTTCACTGAAGCTTTCCCAATGACAGTCAAGTGCTTGAGTGAAAGTGACCTCACAATGATTTTTTTTCTCTTCTGAGCAATGAATCTTATTTGTAGTACATCATCACGTATGAAGAATTTAAGAGAATTTTTGGAATTTGGACAAGTGATTGTGCTTTTGCATCTTTGTCCCTCTACAATAGGAAGCCCTGTGCTTATAGAGATGGAAGCAGGTCCCTCACCCTCTGCTCATGAATATGGAAAGCTAGATATGCAATGCATCTTGTTCACTCCAGCTCACATAGCTGTCTTTCCTCTCTGAGTTATTCTGGAACCACTCTTCTAATGAAGACTTGGGCCTTCGAAAGTAAAACTAAAGTCTCTGCTTCAGGTTTGTGCTAGAGGAGCAGTTCTAGCTATCAATCAGGTCTTGAAATGTGGAGAAAAGTCATATGAGGGTGCAGGTAAAGAAAAGAATGCTACTGTTACGTAAATGATACTTAAAATATTATGGTTTGTGTTTAAACGGCTCCCCAAATCCTCATGCAGTCAGGAGGGGCAGGCCTATCCAAGGTGACTGAGTCTAGCATTTGTGATTGGTTCATTGTCTAGTGCTGGGATTGACAATGTGGGTACTGCTCCCACCAGGGGCAGGGAGCTGGCATACAATATGAGGGATGCAAGGAGGTGTGGTTTCCTGTTGGCCCTTTTCCCTCTCGGTTGCTGTTGCCACCATGAGTGGCTGTCCCTTAGCCACACCTCCCTGCCTTGAAGCTAGCTGAGTATGGACTGAAACATACAAAAACTTTAAGCTGAATAAACCTTTCCTTCCTTTGTTTTGGGAATCAGGTATTTTGTCTCAACAACAAGAAAAAAATAATAATCAACACAAATGTCTTAGGTGAGCCGTAATTAACTGTAAAAATGCTGCATGCATGAAAACAGTAGAAGTCAAAGAAATAAAAGGAATGAAAAAATTCATTTCAAAAGACAAGCACTTCATGGTATAAAATTCCTTCTGAAGATCCAGAAGCTGCTTTATCAGATGCTCTTTGTTTGTGTAAAAGGAATCAGAGGTTTCTAATACATAGACCACATTACTTAATTAGATGTCATCTTTTATTTTGTGAAACCAACATCTTTGAATATTAAATAAGACAAAAGCTCCAGTCAAAAATGCTTCAGAAGCCAAGCATGGAAGTACAAGCTTCTAACTCCAGCACTCTTAGAGGCTAAGAAGGTAGATCACATATACAAATCTAGCGAGGGGAACTTGGAGGCTAAGCTTAATTTGAAGTTCTGCATTCAGTTTCTAGTAGAGAAAGAAAGAAAACAGATAATAGAAAACAAATAATACACAGCACTTATGAAGGTACATTACATTTCATATTTTGCCACAGTTCATTATTATTTAAAATAAGTTTGTTTCAGCTTCCATTATTAGATCATAATAATGTTCAATAACATTTTACTTAACACGTGAAGTTAAGTTCATTCACCCTGTAGTTATTGAGCATATCCTATGATGATCGATGTGATACGTCCTGGGTTGAGATGGTTTCTGTCATCATGGAATTTATCTTTTCCTTGAAAGACACAGACAGTTATTAAATATTATGACAAATGATATTAGATAGTCCTACATGCCTCATAGAAAATAAAGTGCCTGAAATGTAGTGACTGATGATATAACATTTATTGAGTAACCATTTGTGCTTTTCTATTTTTAATATATCATTTGTTACTGGGGTGTCAGTTAAGAACCTAAGATGGAAAAAATATAGATATTTCCTTTCCATACAAAATCTTGATAGGTGAAAAAAATTTTAGAAGAATTTAGGCTGACACTTTCAACCACCATACTAAAGTTTTCCCACCTTCAGAGATAGTATTTAGATCAATTGTCATTTGAAGAACATGTAAATGTGATCTCTTGCATTGTTTCTTCTGCAATTTTGAATAAAATGGCCTGAAACATTCCCTGATTTGAATTTCAAGCACTTAATAAATACATGTTGATTAACCAAGGCCCTGGTTAATCAACATGCATTGATTTCCTCAATGATTTCCAAGGCCTTGGGCCGAACACAGGGAAGAGACAATCTTAAAAGTGTCAAGAAAATGGTGATAAACACTTTGGTGACCAGGAGTGAGATGTTAATTGTGACTTTGGTAAACCTTCCCCTTGTTTCAGATCTGCAAGAAAGAGAACTATAAATGACTTCACTCCTAACCAAGTTCAGGAGAGTAGAGTCACAATATTTTTTCCAATAAATTTAGAACATTTTTAGTTTCAGTGAGAACATTTTGTAGTTGAAATGCTCTTGGAAATATGAACTAAGGATGAAGTAGAAATATTAAAGAAATGTTTTGGGGCTGGGGATTTAGCTCAGTGGCATAAGTGCCTGCCTTGCAAGTGCACAGTCGTGAGTTTGCTCCCGGACACCGGTTTAAAAAAAAGGATAATGTTTCAAGTGAACAAAGTAATAACGATTATCCATGCTGGGATACTGATCTGTAAAATAAGGAAAATCATAAACATGGTGAAACGCTATTCATCTCTGTCATTCTTGCAGATGAATAGAAAAACCCTGCTTGGCTGAAGGAACATGATTCTTGGGACACCTCACTCCCATTTTCCAAATTTCACTGCATTCCTTTAGAGTAGGAAGTGATGGAGCTACAGGACTGACTGCACAGAAAGGATCTGCATTGAAACTCAAAAATGTGTAGCTCTCAGACAGAATGCCACAGTTCTTCTATTGCAAAATTGTCCTTTTGCTATAACTAATTGTGAAATATCGTAGGAATAGGTAAAAATAGCAAAGACGATGTTTATGGTAAAACTACACAAGCTAAAGCCAGTCTACTGGATTACATGTTCTGGAATTAGGCTGCCTTGGTCCATATCCAGTTTCTACTACCTACACATGTACATGATCTTGAAAAAGCCAATAGGCCTTTTGTTTTAGTTTCATCATCTGTAAACTCAGATAATAATATTGCATGTTTCATAGAGGTACTTTGTGCATTAAATGAGTTAATATATGTAAAGCTCAGTGTTTGATATTAAAAGAATGACATGTGTTAGTATGTCATTATTCATCAGAAAGATCTTGACATACCCTGCAAAGACAGAATCATACAGTAGGACACATGTGCAGGAGTAACTCAGGAGATGGAGCAGTCACTGCAGGGCTGAGCATGGAGTTTTGCCTTGAAATTTTGGTAAACTGGCTACAAAGTAGAGCGATGATGCCCTTCTGGCATCTCAGAACTGTTGCAATGATCAAATGCAATGATGTTTGGGGAGAGGTTTATGAATTTATGAAGCATGATAACTATGTAACTTAGCAGCATTTTATTATCATTTTAATAGAAGTGTCAAGGAGATGGCAGGTCCTTCCTAAAGGCAAAGCTCGAAAAAGTATTTTCTTGCTGCAGAAGGAGGCAAAGTGCTGAAATGTAGTCAGCCATCTTTGTCCTGTGTCAGTGGACAGACTCAAGATTTCATTCATTACTTTTATGATTAAAAAAGTGGCAATGAGAGAGAGAAAGAGAGAGGGGGGAGCTAGTTTACCCACCAAATTATGTTTTCAAACTGCTTTTCACTTGTTTGAATGCTAGCGTCCAGGATATGACAATGTTACCACCTGCCTGAATTACTGAGCTGACTGTCAAATCCCTTGGGGCTGTAGGACTCAGTCCTCCATTCCTTGTTAGCATCTGTGTGTTAATGTTTTAGGCCATCCTTCTAATCTATTCCTTGCATTGGACTCTTCCTGAAATGTTTCAAGTGTCAAATGTTTTAATGCAATTCCCACAAATCAAATAAGGGAGTGATACACATATAGCTGTACATGTTTATATATATTTTGTATACATACATATGACACATGTGTATTCTCTATGTGTGTGAGACATAGTTTTGTCAGTAACACCACTGGCACTATTGGAAGACAGTAGAAACTCTTAATAGGGCTACTTGGTTAAAGCAAATTAGTTCACTGGAAGGACATTCTTGAAAGAGATACTGGGTCCATTTCCTCTCCACCTCTCTCTTTACTTCCTGGCTGCCATCCACTGAGAAGCTTTGGCCCATTACATGCTCTCACAGTGATGTTCTGCGCAGCAGAGGTTCAAAGAAAATAGGCCCAAACAATTATCCATTGAAATGTCTGAAACCATTACCAAAATGAGCATCTCTTCATTATAATGTTATTATCTCAGTTTATCAAAAAGCCAGAGAACTGTGTAACACAATCATGATCACCATATTCATTTAAAGTTTTCCTTTCATGGAAAACTGATATTGTATTGTTTCTTTAGGTACAATACGTTATTTGTCATAGATGTTCTGCAGTTGAATACTGTGGTTTTTTGGTAGTTGCTTTTTATTGGCATGTCTCTGATTTAAAGTACTGGGCTATTTGTTCATTTTAATTTTAAACATAGATTTTAAATTGTTATTTGAAAGGTCTTGACCTGATGCATTTGATGAAGAGTAAAAACATGAGTTAAACCCCAAATAGAGATTGTTTTGAATTGGAACTTTAATAAATGACCTGTTACTGGTTTATCAAGCCACACACATAGGCACGAATTAGAACCACCATGTTAAATAACTCCCATAACTTATTAAAAGCTGTTACCTTATTTTTATGGGAAGTCACTTTGAAATGACATGTGGGTATCATTACTTTTTGCTAGTTAATTCTGAACTTTCCAGGATGGACCATAAGGAGGAAAAATGCAGAACATTTTACATGAAAAAATTCTAAAACATGGAATAATCTATTAAACAGGGAGCTAAAGTCTCCCAGAACCTAAACCACTTTACAGATACATGTTGAATCTTTTGGAAGGTGAAACTGACCATTGCTCTGGACAGTGCTGAACAGTAAATAGGCTCTAAAATCAGAAAAACTAGATGTACTTCCAAAATCTAAATTAGTTTTTGTTCTCGCTGATTCATTTCCCTAATCTCTTAACCAGAGAAAACAAATATTCTAACTTTGTAGGCTTGTTTCAAGGTTAAGTGTTTATAAGTATGCCCACATAGCTTGTAATTTAAAAATAAAATTTTACTTCCTGGGTTCAAAAGTTAGCAGAAAACTTGACTTTGCTACTTCTGGAGGCTGTGTGGAATTGAGTGTGTTGGCCACAACATTTTCTACATAATGAGACACTGTGTGTGTGCCGTTAAGATGTTCATCTCTGGAATTTTGGAACATACAAATAGAGCACTTAAGTGCCTTGGTATAATTCATTCCTCTCCTGTTAGAAGCCCCAACTGACTCTGGAGATTAGTTATTCCCCAGGGTTTCCTCTTTTGCTTCACTATAAAACTATAATGACTTTCTTTCCTATCTTGTTGACTCAGTAATGCAATAAATAAGATATAAGACATATTTAATTTTCAAGCCCTTTATTGGTTTTATTGAGTCTCATTTGGATATGTGAATCACTATACTAGAAATGGAAACTAACATTTATGACTGAGTTTATTATGGGACACTTGTGTATACAGTGGTAGATAAAATATGCATTCACATAAATTTAAATAAAGTCAGTATCCCACTATTCACTGGCTTATACCTGGCTTTATTGGATGTTATTCCTGCTTAGGGAAATACCTCTCCCCTTAGTATTGTGTTCTGTATCATGACCTCTGTTTCTTTCCTGTTTTCCTTATACTTGGATTCCAGAGTATTATCTTCAACACTAAACTGTACTTATCTTCTAACCTTCCTCAATAATTTGATATATATACTACAAACATTGAAAATTTAGTGTGTATGTAGTATAGATACTGAAAAATTAGTATATTGATGTAGTCTATGTACTAAAAATTTTGTCTATTCTGTATGTATATATATATTGTATAAAATAATATAATATATATGAATAAATACTGAAATAAGGGCAAACCTAAATGGAAAATCAGATAAAACATCCCATTTTGTTTAATTATGTTGTTTTTTCAGGTTTTTGGAAGCTATTTTTTCTAGAATGGTATATATTGTATACCTTTGATGGATTATGCATATGTTTTATCAGTATCTTATTATATTTTCTTGAATAATATCTGCAAAAATGAATGCTACCTTAAGCTTTATTTGTAGAATAGAGTAAAAGTAAAGTTCTAGAAAATTGCATCTCTAAATGTTTATAAGTATTATGCAACCTAATATTAGAGATTGAATTTAAAACCATATATGTTCATAAACCCATTCATTCCTCTTTATCAATAGAGTAAGGAATATATGTATGCACCGCCAAAGACTGAGAAAAACCTTTTCCCCTCACACATCTCATTTCTGTCATGTCAGTTACACAGAGAACCAGAGCAGACGTGTGCTAACAGAAAATTCTGAAACACATTCCCTCTTATGTTTTCCAATAAAATTAATGGGCACTGAAAGACAATTTTCCATGTCCCTAATCTTTATCATGGCAACAGTTACTCTTGACATTGTCAATGTCGCTTTTTTAAAATCCTTTTTTTTCCCTACAGGACAATGTGTTGGCTGATGATGACGAGGAAAATGATTTCCAATAAATGAGAAGCCTGTTGCAGGAGGAGTAGACATGAGGAGGTGGCGCTGAGCACTTCCACATCAAAGATATTAGCTGGTTTCCAAAATTATCTGTGCGTTTTACAGTTATTCAGGAAATCTCTTCTCACAATAAATAGATCCCCGGTGCGGCTTTGAAAGGCCATGGCATTCATTTCATTCCATTTCACGGAGCCAGAGCAGCTTGTTGCACAGATGAAATGGGTGAGCTCTGCTATCAGCTGCTTTTTAAATTATATTTATAGGGTGATCGGAAATTTCATAGTAATGATCACTTTTTGCTTTTTTTAATGTTACTTTTAAAATCCATTGGTAGTATCTTTTATTTCTCCTGAAGGGAGTATATTTGGAGTAGTCATTTACTATGCCACACATACACATGCTTTACTTCAAGTTTTCTGCACAATGACTGCACCTAATTCCTTGTTCCTTTCATTCCCATAAGTAGTTTTCCCACAATAAATGACTTCCAGCTCCCAGTATATGTTTTGCCTAGCCTGCTACTTCTAGTTCTATCTTCCTAAAACTACTAAGAAAATCCAAACTAGACATTTTTATTTCATCCACCCTGTCATATTAAATGTCTCAGGCCCAGGAGACAGAGACATATAGAGATAAAGACAGAGAGATAGAAAATATTTACCACCATTTTCAATAGAAATCTAAGACCCATGACCAAGCTTCTGAGGCTTTGACAAATATTTCTAGTGGAAAGAAACAGTAGTTCACCTTTAACAAGGAGATTTTACTTCTATTTCTTTTTAAGTAGCTGTCTTATGATAACTAAAGTAATCATGGCACTATGTTAAAGATCACTGGCCCTAAAGCAATAATTCTGTGATATGGCTCTTTTTTTTGCTGACCAACTATGGCTACTAATAGCCCACCACCAGCTACCTAGGTGCTTAAGATTAAAGCATGAATAAAAAAAAAAAAAACCCACAAAAACTAACATTCATAATCCCTTCATTTAAAAGCTGTCAGGAATTACTTTGATTCAAATTTCCTAGCACTAACAATTGATCTATACATATAATTATTCTTGCTCACTAAAGACTAGCAATTTATAGTATATATCAAAAATTTTTCTATAAGATTGCTTCCAAGTTAGACTTCCTTGGTGAAAACAGATTTCCTTTTTTTTTTTTTTTTTGTAATGAATGCAGCACAATAAATAAATTTAAAATGAAAGTATAACTTCCTTGCAACACAAGAAATAAGCCTTCCTCCTGTGCTTTATTCATAAATTAACATTTTATAACTATCCCAAATCACTATCACTAAAATGAAGGTGATCTGGCTACAAGTTATTGCTATTCATTCAAATTATACAAAGGGCTATTAGAATAATGGAAGATTTGAATAAAATTATAAATTTACAGGGCTCTGAAGAACTACTTTAAAATCAAGAACGCGCATTGTTTTGGAGATTAGTATTAATCATTTGAGAGATCTAAGTATTTTCATATAGTTTTTGTACAGTACCCTACTACTGGCCATAAGTTTTCCTCAGGTTACAACATGTCTCCCTAGAATTTATTTGCTAGGTTTTTCTCATGAAAGTAGTAAGTCCAAGTAGCAAATTATCCAAATGAGTGTGGTGGCTTTTATTTCTATTCAACACTGAAGGAAGACTCACTAAATTCCAACAGCAATTATACATTTTCAAATACATTTCCAGATATGTTAAGGAATTTGATTGATCAAAATTTTTAAAATTTTGAATGGGAAAACACCTTGGATGTCAGGGTTAATGTATCATTCAGATGCACCATTCACTTCCAACTTCTTTCTAGCTGCTGATAATTTCCTACTAGGACTGATGCTTTCATGTGGAGCACAACTGCTTGCAACTGTTTTTCCTTCTGTATTTAAAAAAGAAAGACAGAAAATCCTTCAAATGCAGATGTTCCTCTGGTCGGCCACAGCCACCCTAACTTTTAGCACTTAGTTCATCGGAATTCCTGTTTTGGTCTCTGCCAGGAAGATTTCATCAACTTCTGTCTGTGCCACTTATGCTCATCTACTGACTTAGTCTTTCCAGAAACAGACTCCACTGACATAGTCCACCAGGAAACGCCGATTTAGTGTGGTAAATTACCATTTCATTGCTGCTTCAGCCTTTCCAGCAAAGACTTCTTTTTCCATTGGCTTTTCTATTAGAAAGCCATGGTTTTGAGATAAAGTTTGAAGCTCAGGAGGATTACAGAATATAATGACAGGATGCCCTCAAGTGGTAACATTTACTGTACAGAGAAAGCTCTAAGTAGTTCAGAGCATACATGCACAAATCATCCTGTGGTCTCTTCAGCAGAGGGCCACAGCACCCTGTGAACTCATAACAGTTGAAAGAAAGAAACAGAGAAGATATTAAATGCACTTTAATGGAGCTTAAATGTATTTAACTAGAAGGATTACCCACAATTGTCCAATTCCCCTTGCTTAAAATATTGATCAGTAGCCTGTTGGAAATTAACAGCAACTTACTGTTGGAAATTAACAGCAACTGATCAGTTACAAAATCATTTAAATACACTTGTTATCTTGGGTTTGTTGATCTTAAAAATTGACATAGTTCATGAAGAATAAATCCTACCAGTTAACCACTCTGGACCTCTCATGGTCTGATCACCTTCCACAATCTCATTATAATATATGCCAGATTAAAATTCATGATGGGTCTATTATATTGAACAGTTTTTCACACTAAGTAGAGATGTAGAGATTCAGGAAAGGATTGTTTAATCCCATTTTGGTTATCACATCCTCTTCATTAGGGAGGTAGCATAAGGTTCAGAATGCAGATTTAAAAAGTGCGTGTTTGGAAAGGTACAAAATGTCTCGAATGATGGATGCACATTAATATAATGTGTCATAAATCCCTGGGGAAGCTAAGGCTGAACATTTTCCAAATCCAATGTTTTGCTATCTCCCCCACCCCAGCTTCTGTATTTCATTAGAAGTGGATTTATCCTGGTTAAGTCATTCAGGTACTGAAGTTACAAAGCTCAATCATCTTTGAGTCTTTCTCTATATTCCTCACTTGAATCACTTGGTTTTCTGGGTACTACTTCAGCACATTGCTACTTCTTTCTGTTGCCCTTGTGACAGCTTTATTACAGATTCTCACCTTACTGGTCATTGCAAACTGAGTCTTTGCTTCTTACTGCAGCTGGTAGATATTATCTTTCTGTAAAGCAATAGTGGCCATTATTTTCCAAATAAGGTTATTCTTTAATATTTTCATTTCTAAAAGAAACACAAAAAGCCAATCCTTTTGAAAATAAAGAAAGTCTTTCAAGTTCTAGACCATGTCTTTAACTTATCTTGTGGATTAAAAACTGGTAGTTAACACTAGCTGAATTAAATCATCATGATGCTGAGTGGAGATGTTCCGCCTGAGGAAAGTTGCCTGTATAAATAGAGATATGGAGAAAAAGCATGAGGTATTGTGAGTTCTAAATGTTTCTTTTTCTAGCCATTGGTTCTCCTGGAAGAGCTCCTCATGACTGGCTTCCCCTACATGAGTTTGGACATTATGATCAGAGGAGCTCAGGACCTTGTTGGTGAGAATGGCAGTGTTTCACTTTGGGCAGCTCTGGGCCTTACATCGAGCATCACTTCCTGGCCTTACATCGAGCATCACTTCCTGGCTCCAGAGAGGAAGATGTGTGCATTTAATCTCCAGGAGAAGCTTGTCACACTGGCTTTCAGGCATATACTCAACTGTTCTCATTGTTGGAGGAGCTTGGGACCCCTGTGTCACTGAGGATGGCTGTGGTACTTTTCAGTGCAGCCCTGATCTTTATTTTGAGCATGACTCCTCAGCTCCAGTGTAGTACCCTCAACCTACCAACGCAGCTCCTTCACCCCACTGGCATAGACTTTCTAGCATCTACCACGGACCTTTGGGCCTTCCCTGCACAGATCTGTAGAAGAGTCTAGCATGAGTCCTTGCGTGGCCTCTAGACCTCTAGACCTCACGGGAGGCATTGTCCTTGGCTCTAGGTCTTCAGCTGAACTCGTGAAGGACATTGCTGTGGGATGAACATTGGGATGGACATTGCTTGGCTGAATATTCTGAGTTTTAATGTTGTGGACAGATTTCCTGCACTTTCTTGTGTTTAACTCTGGGTGACCATCATAAAATAATGTTATAAATCCTGTGTCCTGACTGTAATTACTCTCCTCACAATCCCTGACTACAACAACGTAATTCATTTCTATTTTATTTTCTGTCTGTATTCAATAATTTCCAAGTTTCTTCACTGTCTTTCTTCCTCTGTTCCTTGAACCACTTCCCATACTTGGACTCTTTATCACTCTTGAATTGTGTGATTTGAAAGGATAAGTTACTTAAATCCTAATATTTTAAAATAGGAAATTGAGAGTATAATGAGGATTATGCTTTTTGAATTTTTTTTATTTGTATGTGTTTCCCATACATAATGACCACAATCCTCAGTGTTTTCTTATTCCATTGCCACATCATATGGAGTACATCTTTTGTCTAGTCATATGATACGATCCTTACATTACTTTGAATATATGTTCTCTAAGTGAATGTGTACGTGAGCATACACATAAGTGCAGCTGCCTTAAGAGTCTTGTAATAGGCAAAATGGGAGGTCACAGAAAAATACTTAATCTACGCATGATTGAATGGATAAATGAAAAGCATTACATTTCTTTCAATGTCTACATTAGTAAGCTTTTCCATTACTAGGACAAAATATTTGATGTACACAATTTAAAGAAGAAAAATTTATTTTTCTCTCATGGTTTCAGAGATTTCAGTCCTTGGTCAGCTAGATCAAGGCAGAAATGTCCAGGCAGAAGAAATGCTCAACCCATGGAAATCAGGAATCAGAGAGAGCCAGGAAGGATGAGTGCCAGGGAAACCATGTATTCCAGGTCCTCCAAACAGGCTCCCCCTGTCAGTGCATCCAGCTAACGTACAAAGTTAGCTCTCCACAACCTAATTACTTTCAAAAGCACCTCATCTGTATATATGAATCTTTTGGATGAAATTTTTGTTTAAGCCATCATCATGTTGGATGCATAGATATAGTATTGGGAAAGGGAATTTCAATTGATTGTAGACTCAGTGTGATTCCTAAACATAAATAATATTGCATTACCTTAATTAAGATTTAGAAAATGGACTTTGGCACAACCTGATAAAATGTGAAGTGAAGGATGAAGATTTAGACAGGAAGGACACACTGAGAAAGAACACTGACTCTGTGTACACAGCCCTCATAAGCATCGGCATCTACAAATGAGAGAAATGCCGAGGTGCTTGTCTGAGGGCAGGAATTGACGAGTGGAGTTACTGAGCAAAGATCTTTGCTATCATTCATTGAAAGAAAAGCAAGGCTTCAGTCAATCCAGATTTACTCACTATGTATCATATTCTATATCACATTCTTCATTTATGACACACAACCCCAACTACAGGGCTTGAAAAGGAATCAAAAGCAAAACAAAAAATGTGAATTTCAGGTATCTGATAAAATAATCAATATAAACAATATTGGCCAGGGATTAAGCTCAGTGGCATAAGCACATGCCTGGCAAACATGTGGTCATGAGTTCGATCCCTGGTTCAAAAATAAATAAATAAAATCTAGTTGACCCATATATTTGAATTATGACATAATTAGTCATAATAATGTACTCATAAAGGAAATATAATTAATTATCAGACAACTTCACTAAGGGGAATTCTTCCCTGCCAGCACATCTCAATTGCAACTTCACTGTGTATTTCAAACCTCTCTGTATGAAGTGGTGTATAGCAAATACACATGATTGCTAGGATTCTTTTTACTGAGTGAGGGTAAATGTAGGCATTGAGCTTGGAGGGAAACTATTAACTGTGAAGAATAAGGTCATTTACATTAAAGTGTCAAAGGACACAGTGCAAGGTAAGGCTTCAGACTGTATATTAAACGAGTCTGATATAGTGGAGTCAAAGTTCCCCTTAAATATTAAATCATGTCTGTTAATAGTGATTGCCCAAAACAATGTAATAGGAACTTTCAAAGTTTCTTAGGGAACTAAATGGATCAATTAATAACATTTTCCACGATGTGGGAGACATGGTAGACAAGTACTACATTTACGCTCCCCATTCCACTTTCTAATCTATTTCCAAAAAGAATAGTAGAAAAATAGTGAGCCAGGTAGCAATCCCACAGTGATTTATTTTTCCATTTTTCTTTGCCTTATAATAGAGGATACAATACACAGATTAACATTTAGTCATGTTTATGCCCAGCAATGTGTTAGACACATTAGCAGACTTGTTTACATACCATAATATCTTTATAAATTATTTCATTAAACAAAGCCATAAATAATAATTCAGAAAAGACATTTTACACACTTTTTCTTCAATATATCAACTAACTAATGAGGAGATTAGATCTTATATCAAATGAAATCATCTTGTTTTTTACTCAAATGAAATGGTACAGAAGTTTATGTGGCCACTTGCCTGAGTCACAATTCCCAGCTATTTGGTCAAACATTTTACTCAGAGCATGTTTTCAAATGAAATGTACATTTAAATCAGTGGACTTGAAGCAAAACATATTGTCCTCCCAATACTGGACCCTAATATCCAAGACAGTAGTGGGTGATCCTCCTGCAATCTGTTAAAATCCTGGCTCGCATGAGAAGCGTGCAGGGGTTTCAACAGTGCACGTCCTAGAACTTCTGCTGAATTGTTGGCCTTAACTGGTTGCAATTAAACTGCAGTGCTTTCATAGATCTCTAGCTTGTTGACTGCTTCTTCAGAGTCTGGACTTGCGTGCCTCCACAGTGATCGTATCGATTGTTTAAAACTAATTCATATTTATGGATATAACACACACACACACACACAATAGCCATGTGTTGCCTATTGGCTGTTTCTGTGGAAAGACCTAATACAACATGTTTGGTTATTACATAATTAAATTATTTTGCACTCTGCATTCATTATAGATACCATATGTAGCAATAAATCATTAAATTTGAGACCATATGAAGGGAAGAAAAACAACACCAAATACTTATTTTGGCAACCTATTGTGGGTGACATTTTGCAAATGATATAGATAATAGCAGTCTTTGTATTATATAATTCTCTCTTGTATCGTGGGGTTTGCACACCAAGATGGGCTCAGACAGCCCTGTTTTAGGTTTCCTTAAGCAGTTTCAGTCAGGCTGTTGCTGGACCTGGAACATCAGGGGACTAGAAGTGTGTGTCTGTGTATTTGTGCCTGTGTTTGTGTGTGATGTATGCATGCATGCATGTACATTTATGCTATCAATATGTGTTTAGTCTGCTATTTTTGTGCTACCTTTCACTTTCTCACAGGTTAACAACTCCTAACCTTTCTAATATTTGAAGTGCAAATATTCCAGGGAGCAAGTCGGAAGCTATATTGTACATTATGATCTAGTCTCCCTAAGCACATAACATCATTTCCTGTTGCACTGTTGGTTTAAATGATCATCAAAGCACATTCAACTTCAAGAAGAGTGAATATAGATCCTTGCTTTGAATGACAGAAACCAGAAAAGTGAAGAATGCCAATGATTTTCCTTCTAACTTCTGTATTTCTTTTTTCCAAAAGGAATTCATCACTTTCTTTCTTTACTGTTTTCAGAGACACAAAATTTTTCTTACTTCTATTTTTCTGAAAACCATATGGAAAAAGCATAAATTCATGCCCAATCAGTCCTAGTCACCCAATTATTACATAGTTTGTTCCTTTAGAAGCTATTGTGTCATTGGTTCCTTGCAGGTAATATTTTTGTAACAAATAATAAACAATATAAAACTGATTTTTCTGTGCTCTACAGATTATCATCTAATTTTAAAATATAAATTTGTTCCTTTTACTTTGTCATACCTCATATTGTTCTTAAAAGTGTTAGTAATCATAAGTGGTCTAGTGATCATAAGATTATTATGCCCAAGATACTGTATTAAATCTATTCTTTCCAAACAGAATTCCCAAAATGTTCCATGTCTGTAATTTTATTAATTTCTCTTCATTGTGAATAAAGGAGTTGATATTAAAGATATTTAACAATTCCGTGACTTTCCACCTGATGGTACATCTAGAAAATAATTAACATCTTTAGTAATGGATTCTACAGCTGAATAACAAATCAAGTGTAAATTGTGTTTTTCATCCTTTTCAGTAGCTTTGGTATAAAGGAACTGTACTCTTCGTGGTATAAAGAAAGTCATGCACAGAGAGGCTGAAAATTTATTAGTAAGCTTGTGTTCTGCCAATAAAAGAAGTAGTCTGCTTGTCAGTTGTTGGTAATGTGTTAATTGTCTTTTCTTCTTCTGTTTTCCATTAAACAGAGTCTACAAGTGCTTAAGCCACAGGTATCTGCTGCAGGAAGATAACCTAGGGGGTCATTTCAGCATTTATAACACTAAGGCACAGTTTGAACTGGGAACATGCTTCTAATAAATAGTTAAAAAGGCAAAATAATAGATAAGTAGAGTTAAACTGAGAGAATGTAGAACACAAAAACCCAATGTAAATAAAATGTGTGGAGAAATCAAGAGAAAATCCAGAAGAAAGATGAAAAAAGGATGTGAATGAAAAGTAAAGGGCTGTGAAATAGAGCATTACCGAATTCTCCTCCATTCTCCTTCCTTAATCCTAAGATTCTTTAAGAAGGACGATAAATAAAAGATAATTTTGCAGCATGTGTACATATGCATGACATTCATTAGAATGTAGGACTTTTTGAGATATAATGATTGTATTTAAAATAAGCAGAAAACTTTTCATGAATGACATAGGGTCTCACTGATTAAGTTATACCTACAAATTGTGCTCAAATAAATGATCAAGAACTCCATAAGGTAAACGTCCTCCAAATCAATATCCAGTAGCAAAGGCAGATGCTTCTAGGGGCTGTAGTTTTACTTGCTGAAAAGGTCACTTATCGATTGTAAAATCGGAATTTATTTCATCAAACTGTGTTGGTGATGATTTCTTCCCTTTCTAGAATGAGAATATGTAAGTTACTCCAGGAAGACATTTACCTCAAAAAAAATCTGATCAAAATATGACTATATACAGGTCTGACATGGACTGAGCTGGGGTTCCCACCCTCCTG